GCGAAAGTATGCGAAAGTAAGCGAAAGTAAGCAAAAGTTATTCTCGATCAAAAATATGTATGTAACAATGTTTCTTGTTTAAAAAATACAAAATGATACGATTGAATACTCACGAGAGTTGCACCCAAGTTTTCAATTGTAGGTATTTTATATCCTGCAACACAAAAGAATTTACAAAGTGAGAAAACAACACGTACGCATTAACTTTACATACGTTTAGGTTATATCTCGTAAATAGACTTCGTTTATATACCTCTAAGGTCCAATTCACGATCCTTTACAGGATTAATGTACTGCATAGATTGCTGTATCAAATCTGGAGTTAATTTCACCATTTTCAACAAATCTGTGATTTATATTCACCAATAATTCAACCCAACGCACCGAATCAAACACAACAACTGCTCTAGTGAAGTTGGCTACAAATCATGTCCAGGTTACCACAACACGAACGTCACAACGATGTACAGTGTCGCCAACGTTGGAGGGAGATTCAAAAGTTCTTAAGGTGTCTTCCTTTAACATTAGATTTACGCAACGCGTCAATTTGACGCAGATTGAATTTTATAAACATTATTCGGTAAATGTTTCAATCGGTTTTCGTTGATCCAATTACACGAATATGAATCCCGATTGTCTATTTCTACATCTACAATTTCCAAAATCTAAATGAACGAATATCAACTTCCCCAGGAACAATAGAATAAACTGTACAATAAATGCCCGTAAACCTAGTGTTAAATATTTACCTTTAGCCCAATGCTCTACCAATAATCTCTACCGAAACGAGTAACAAATCATTTAACTGTAAATCGCATTTCAAAATTCAAATGAAATAGAATTCAGTTTAATCTAGAATACATAAAATATTCGAAAATAGAAACTCCACTTCCAACAAAATCGAATCGATAAATCCATTGACGACGATACGATATAAACCGCATTTCATTTCCAATGCAATACATTTGCAAACAAACGCCAATTTCAAACAGATCCATAATCAGTGGTAAACAGATACACAAACTTCGTGACCTCTTCGATCTCGTGACCTCCCTCATTGTCAACGTGCTTCTCACATACGATACCGCCTAATCGCACTGCTAATTAGAGTACCCCCAACGAAACGATCCCCCCAGTTCCCCGAGGAAGCCATTTCCCAGCGAATCAACCGAACCAGAAGAAACCGATGAATGACTCTGACGAACGTGCAATAAAGCCACGCAGGCTCTCTCCCAAAGAGCCGGTCTTTGACGAGATCTTTCTCGTCCGTCGAGAACGAAGTTAAATCCCACGGCTACAGGAAACAATAAGACCGGCAAGTTGCTCGATGATCGGTGAAAACACGGCCTGTTTTCTTCCTTGTGTTCTGGCGCTCCACCAGATAATGACGGCGTTCGAGTGCCGTGTCGCTGAAAACGCCGGCGTTACTCAACACCGTCGCTCCAATTTCATTCGACTTTGGACGAAATCAAAGGGGGGAGCTACCTCGATCGGCAGGGAGCCGCTAATTGCGATAGATTCGGTCGCGTTGCCGCAACGTAGAAAGCCGCGGGAGTGAACCGGCCGGCCGCTATTTTCCAGCGACCCGGAAAAAAAGATCGGTGCTCGGTGTTCCCTCGATGGATCGTTCGGCCGATCGATAGGTGCAAACGCCGGTTACGAAACTGCGCTGTAAACCGAGACACAATCCGATTCTTTCGATTTGCTGCGAAAATGGGAGGGAAAAACTGGCCGCTCTCGTCGAGAATCGAGATTCGTCGATCGTTAGATTCCATAGCTTGCGCAAGAATAACAACGAAACCAGGGATGAAAATCATTGTCTGTTGCGTCTGGAAGAAATTGTAATTAAACGTATTGTTCGATGGAATACCCTTTGGACAAGTTATTATTAGTCTCGAAGGAGAGGAATCGCCAATGGCTAGGAAAATGGAAATCCGATGACGTTCGATGACGTTAAACGTGCATTACCATAGGGATCGAAAAAACTCTGTTTGTCTTAGCTGAAACGGACACCGGCACGCCCTAGTTCTCCATTTCCGCGTGCCGCCGGTGATCCGCGAACGATCGCGATCGAATTTTGCGGTTCTAACCTTGGTTAATGCACGGCCTGTCTCGAAAACGTTCGCGTGAACTCGCCGTGTCGAAACAGCCCCGCCGTGACACGCGTGAACGTCAGGTTTCCCGATACGGAAGCGAACCGGGCGAAACCGATACGTGCATCTGCGTCCTGTTGCGGAATCGACGGGATTAGAAAAAACGAAAATCGTTCGCGTAAACAGCGACAGGCTCGCGACGTATCACGGCGTTTACTATTTCCCAGAGACGCTCTTCTCGTAGGATTTTTCCACGTGCGATCGCGATTGTTCTTGTCGCGTGGCAAAAAGTTCGCCAGCGGTTACCTTCGTTGACGAGAGACTTAAACTCGCATTAAACTCGTCGAACGATATTGCTTCCACGATTTTACGAGCGCGAATGCCGGCAGAAACTTCGAACTAGACGGTACACCTTTCTTCGTCGCACAGGAAATTTCCATTAAATCTTTCTTCGCGTTCTCTGCAGATACGTCGACAGTTTCACCGCAGGAAATCGCGTGTTACGAAGGTAGTCGGCGCGCGATCGGAGAACAGGCGTGGAAAAAGAACGAGAGACTTGAACCTTTTCATTAGATCTGAATTAGAAAGGATAACGAAGACGTCGGTGTCGGGACTTCCGTTTCCAGCTGAATTAGAATGTAGCAACGTCGAATTACCGGTTACCGGTGAATATTATTTTTTTTCAGACCCTTGCCACCGTCCACCGTCTATTAATCGATCATCGGTTAATCATATAAACGTCGTACGCGCGCGACAATTGATCACGTCTCGAATCCGAACGACTCGGAGCCCAAATTCGCGACTAAAAATAACCACCGCGAAATCCACTTTGAGGGTCCTCTTATTCTGGTTTATAATTCAAATGAGACACTTAAGAATCATCTGACGTCAGTATAACCGATGTTACGGGTTAACCGTGAACAGAAGTACCAAAGTCCCGCGTGAAGAAATTTTTTTTAATAAAAGAAGAACCGTACGCCAGCGAGGAACAACCGGACGCGGCAGCGAAAATTGAAGAGCCAACAGAGTGCAACCGCGAAAATCGCGAGACAAGCGGTCGATTACCGTCGCTATAAGGTTTCGCACTCCGGTATCCCGACGCGAATCGGTCCTTTCGTTTTATAAGTTGTTATAATTATTCATGTAAGTAAATGGAGCTGAAAATGGAATTGCCGAACCGAATCGAATGCGGTTTATACTCAAATAAACATTTAAGAGCCCGTAGAATGTGCGGTTGAAGTCTGACGCGCGTATCGTTCCCGTTCTTGAAATATTCAGGTAATTTTCGTCGTTGAACGAATTTAGATTATATCTCCGAACGCTAACTCCTTATCGTATAATAACGTGTCAGATTTCTGCTAAATATTTTCAACAGAATGTAACCGACATAAATATTCGATTTTTGTGAATTCAAATTGAACGTTGCATAGCAGGCATGGACGTAAACTATGCATAGAATTTCTCTTCTTTTCGATAAATTATTAATTGAGGTTAGTTGTATCGATCGTTGAGAAATCGATTGCAGGTCGAAGGGTTAAATTCGTTGCACTGACAGTGATATTATTCGAAACTGCGGTGAAATTTGGGTTTTAGAAGAGACGTTGCGTCGACATGATCGATGAGGGTCTAGGAAATTGGGATTATGAATCATTTAAGGAAACCGTCCGCGATAATCAAAGAATATCCGTCGAAAAATCTCGTCGGAAACTGGTTTTGCATACGCAAAACCGGGTCAAACAAACGTTGTTTGATTTCCGTAGCCGAATGCGCATGCATAATCGTGCGAAATGATTAAGATCGAAGTCTGAAAAATTTATCGCTGACGTTCGATTCGTCGAGCAAGGCAATAAGAAATAAGAAAATAAGAAATCTTAATGAGAAGGAAAAAATGACAAGGACTTCTTTAAATTGTGATCAATCGAATTATAATATTCGTGTTACGAATAATTGTATGATTAATGTTTAGATCGAGACATTTCATGACACGCTCGTTCCGTTCGTTTTTATCGAAATCATTCCATCGATTACTCTTGTCTAAAGAAGCTATCACAGGGCAATTATTACTAATCATTATTATTTAACCGACATAAGTCCACGTAATGTATAAATTGTTTTTATACAGCTTATGTAATCGTTGCATTGATAATTGCTCTTACATAGATGCTATTACTTATTGACGTGCATATACGATAATTACATGGTTATATAGAAGAAATCACAATGTTTGTAAACTTTACTTCTTAATTATACTTTAACAACTAGTTAAGTCGTGAATCACATTAGAAAATTCAATATGGAACTTAATGCAAATATTGCTTACAATGTCTATGCGACGTATGCATGCCTTAAATGATCCACACGAAATCTCCAGGCAAACGAATTGCACGCGACACACGACATTTCCCTGATCGATTCGTGAAACGCGGAAAATTATGTCGAAATTGAACTAACCTTTACATTTTCTCTGTTTGTTGCTTATTCGATTTTATATAACTTCGTGCAAAATATCCGAATTAAGTGTTATAAACATCCGATAAAAATCGATTCGAAAATACTCGTAATTGTGCTGATCTCATTTGTTCAATATACACGATTGTCCAGAACTCGGTTCGATAACAAATTCCTCCCAATTTTATGGGAAGGAATTTCCAAACGAGATTTTAAATTTCATGTAAATTATTATAGATCCATTATCCAGAAAAAACTTTTTAATTTAATTCAATTAGGGTAAAAAAGCAATCATGCTAACTCGCGCGGAAAATACGTGTCATCTAAAGAAATAATTAGTATTCAATTGGATAATAAGATTTCAATTTACTAAACTAACAGCTACTCTATCAACTCCGTCAAAGTAAATGTGAAGTCGTTTACATTGACCCGCGATACACAAGGAAGTTACGTGAAGTACACGTGAAGTTATCGTTGAATTTTCATGTCCGAACAGATCGGTATATAATTTCGTTCATGATAATATAATAATATTTAAATAATAGTCTTCTTTTTAGGGTATCGCGATAATTCTTCCCAGCGACGTGATTCACCTACCGAGAGGTGACATAAAAAAAGTCATGAGATCATCAGAAATTGTTTACCATACGCGCTGGTACAACATTATTTTTATTTGACTTTTTCGCGGTAGGGATTCCATTCATGGTTCTGCAAACAATACGTTTCGGATTCCTGTGCATTCCAAAGGGGTGAGACGATCGGGGAAACCATCGGATCGAGCGATACCGTTGGCTGAAACAAGTTCGCCTCTGCCACCCACCTATCTCGATCGAATCGCAGCCGAACTTTCTCCTCTGTTCTCAGCCCGTCGGTAGAACTGCATTTTTCGCATCGACGAT